AGCATCCTTTGGGAAAAGGATGCCTTTCCATGAAATCAAACGTAAACTATACCTCTCTGCTAAACAAGTACGCCTCAAAAAATGGATCTTCTGTATTATGGTTTGTAAGGCTTCTTGGGATGTTGGAAGTGAAAATACTTCTGAGATATAGGGTTAAGTAGAAATTGAAAGCAAATTTGCGGAGCAGGTGTGCGGAAGGTATAGAGTCTATAGCCTGAAAAATGCCGAAATAATAGTTCAAAAGGTTTCCAAAGTTCCTCAGGGTCTGATGACTAGCTGTAGTAGCCAAAGAAAAAATCCGTAAGTCTGCTTCACAAGGATCGGCCAAAGTATGTCATTTAAATCACTGGATCGACAATCGATTGCCATTTTTTAAATTCAGGTAGCTGTAAACTAAATAAATAAACGCATTATTTACAAGCGCAGGACTTCGTACTGTAGATAACCTAACTTATGTAATGTCATGACCGAAAGATGAGTGATTAGGGTGGTGCCGGTTACCCGCCATGTATTCAGGCATGGCTTAACCACGAATATCCGGCTGAGGGCCGAATGCTCGGTATTCACTATTAACACATTTTAGATTAAAAGCTGTAAATTTTCCTAAGTGCATGTTATAACTGGTCTGCTTTTTTGTGGAAGAGACTTATTCTCGTAAATCTCCCTACCACTAATGTTCCAGTAGTCTCCAGTTAATTTACAACACAGATTCCAGAGATTACGATGCCCTTGCCACTATGGAAATGTGCCAAAATAAATAAGCTTATAATGTGAACTTAGTGCTCTAAACTTACTAAACCTTCCCGTCAATTGTAACGTTGGGAAAATAACGCATTCTTCCGAATCCTTCATTGCCCAAGTTGTTCTGCAGGAGTATAAAAAAAGCATGCTAGATTTCTTGGTCTCATAGAACTATACAAAATCAGAAGTCAATTTTGAAAATCCAGCGTAAGGTCTGGCACAACTCATCGATAAGTTCAAATATGATGCTCCGAGAAGAGGGCCGACTTTGCAAACTGCTTAATTATTTTGTGTGCACGTTTGCATTCATACACAGGGAACATACGAAATCTACTTCATTCAGATTAAAATAGCGGGAAAAATTCCCACGCAGAGCAAACACAACTCCAAGTTCCTACGCATCTTAAGGCAGCACTGACAATTAAAACAAAGTTACTTGCCGAAAAATATATGTGTGCATCTCGAAGAGTGCACACACAGACACTTAGCGGTAGGCACTTCCATAATATTGGGAACTCAGGATTTACATCTCACGCTCCTCGATCTTTTGCACAATCATCATCAATTGGGCCCCCAACGCTCTGCATCTGCTTTTTCGTGTGTAAACTCCAGACAGACGCCTGAAAGCGGAGTCCATTCTTGAGTATCACACGCGTGTCTGGGATCCTACTTAGTGCCTGCACCACCATAGTGTGGAGCACAGAGGGGACCTCGTCGAAATCGACGGTCGAATTACCAACTAGTACCTGCGCTGTCAGCATGGGAAGTCATTCAAATTTTTACCCAGTCGAATAACGGATTTTCTCCTGTTCTGATGGGACTTACTTGAAATTAAACGGCTGCCTTACACTGTGCTCTTTACTCTTCATATATGCACTACTGAAACGACCAACGGCAATAGATTCTGCCAGATACTGTCCTCGCATATCAGACAATGCTGGTTTTTAAAAAAATAATTTGAGCTGCATTTTAAACAGAAAACATGCTCGTCTGAGCCACTAGAAACTTCTGATTTTTATTTAACACGCTCCGCGATTTCGAAAAATTAACGACAAAGGAACAGCTGAGGATCCAGAGTATTTCCATGCACAAGCTGGAAAAACATTAACCAACAATCAGATCGTGATACGGACTATGTGAATAATAAACTCCCATTGGCATGAGATATCTAACCTGGAGCCCTCGGTAAGTTATGCAACGAAGCATATGGCGGGAATTCCAGAAGCCGGCAGTTCGCCTTTCCCCTTGGAAATATGGTTTCTGATCGTCAGATTCTCATAGTTCCATCATTTTTATCAAACAAAAATTACTGTTCGTATAGAGCGTCCGTTGATCCATACATAGTAGTTAATTATAATTCCATTTCTATGTAGCACGGCCAATACTTAGGTTATGAGGGACAGTGGTTTAATGACGAAGCACTGCAAGGATAAGATGGATTACCAGGCCCTGACAAGTAAGGAGGGGGTCCTGACCCATCGTTTTGTTCACAATATCCGGAACCCATCCGTAAACCTGAAAAGGAAAACGGAAGATAGCACGCTCTGCGGGCAATCCACAAGGCGTAAAGGTAGGAACCAGACCAGAAGAAGAAGAAACGCCTTTCAAGGCCCTAAACAGGATTGTCGTGATAGCAAGTGTGAATTGAACGAACAAACCCACCTCTGCTGAGTGACCGCTATGACAAAAAGGAGGTGAGAGTTAGAAGATGAAAAGTGGTTTCCAAACGACTGGGATGTATCTGACAAGCATAGTGGCAATCAACGTAGAAAACAGTTGCTCAATGCTGGAATTCGATGGCCTATTGATGCAATAATACTCTAGTTTGGCAGAAATTTTCAGTTTAGGTGGATTGGAAAGAGTTAAGGAATTACGTGCGGTATTATACAGGAAGTATTTAAAATCTGCGAAAGCTTTAGAGATTTCTACTCGAAGAGGTTATTAACAGTGCAATATAAAATATTTTAAATTCAGCAATATTTTTTATTCCACCTGTTCTATTTTTGACTTCTTTGCACACAGTGACAGGGTTGAAGGTGCTAACCGGTACTTCTAAGCAAAACAGAAGGAATATGTATCACCTTGCCAAGTCGGCAAGAGTCAATTCCTAAAGCTAACGATAAATGCTGCAGTCTAAGGCCTAAATCCTAGAATCTTCCTCTTAAGTGTGCCGCTTAAAGAAAAACTTACCTTGTTTATTTTTAGAATGATGCATGGCTCATTGCGGTCATAACCATAATTGTTCTCTTTTACGCAGGGTCCGAGAACCATTGGAAAGAATTTGCAAACCTGGTCGGCTACGTCGGGTGTTTTCATGTTATCCTCACAGCTGGCAAAGGAATCCTGCGGTCGAATGTTCACCTCCTCGTAGAGGTACATAAAGGTGCGAATGTTTTGGACGTAGGGCATAAAGGATTGGGGATCAGCTGCTCGGTATGCTATCAGTGAGGTCAGAAAGTTCACATTGGGTCGATAACTCAAACCTGATGAAAACCAATCAAAAGTTAATTAACAGAATCCCAGATAAGTACGGCTTTTATGAGAAAACGAAAGCACAAAAATTAGAATTACGAAATAATCTTTCTCCAATAGAGTGATTGTTACAGCTTTATTAAACACTTTGCACTGAAACAGGCGACGCTTTAAAGTTGCTTAAATCAGAGGTCCCATTTTCTCAAGCAACCGAAGTCTTTCAATTACGTAGTCAATGTGATTAAAAAGGCTGTCTGTGGAAACAAAGTAATTGGCCTCAGATTGTCAAATAACAGAATCAGGGAACTAAAATGCCCAATGTATGCAACAGAAAAGATTAGTATGTTTACGCCAAAAACGGAAAAATGACACTTAATTAGCATGCAGGACTTAAAATGAAAATAAAGACCTGGTTGGCAGTACAGGTGAGAAAAGTACGTTCTTTAAGAAAACAAAGTGAAGTTATCAAGTAAATTTTCGAATCTGTTTC